CTTTCCGCATTGCATGGGCGAAAGCCAGGCGGACTATCCGCCAAGCAAAGAGGTCGTCATGGCAGGAGTATGTTTCAAGGATCAACAGTCGCACGTCTTCCAAATCAGTCTGGGATAGGATTCGTAGGATAAAGGGTAAAGCGGATACAATATCTGTGAACCATTTAGAGGTAGATGGTTCAACTCTCACTACTCTTCCAGATATTGCTAATTCCTTAGGCCATAATTTTTCTTATAATTCTTCCTCTAACTTTTCCTCGGATGCTTTTCGGAGAGTGAAACTCCGGGAAGAGAGGAAAAGACTTAATTTTGCATCAAAAAACGAGGAATATTATAATGATAAATTTACGAGTTTTCTTTGAAACAGGCTCATGATACAGCTACTGGGCCTGATGATATACATTATCAGATCCTCAAACATCTCCCTTACCCAACATTAAAAAAACTTTTATGTATATTCAACCAGATTTGGGATGACGGTGTATTTCCTCATCTTGGAGGATCGCTACCATTGTACCCATTCCCAAACCTGGTAAAGATCCTTCGAATCCTACTAATTACCGCCCAATTGCATTAACCAGCTGCATTTGTAAAACCATGGAACGAATGATCAATCGAAGACTCGTTTGGCACCTTGAGTCAAACAATCTTCTTACCAACCTCCAATGTGGATTTCGGTCTCAAAGGAGCACTCTTGATCATCTCGTTAGATTTGAATCGTTTGTCAGGGATGCCTTCATCCAAAATAAACATCTTGTAGCCATATTTTTTGATTTGGAGAAGGCTTATGACACCACTTGGAGATATGGCATTATTCGTGATCTCTTTGACTTCGGTCTCAGAGGAAGATTGCCATTATTCATCTCCAATTTCCTACACGATAGGACGTTTAAGGTTCGACTTGGCTCCATTTTTTCAGATCCTTTTCCTCAGGATAATGGAGTTCCACAGGGTAGCATATTATCCGTTACCCTGTTCTCTATTAAAATTAATTCCATCACGTCGTGCCTTAGACGGGGGGTTGATGGCTCTCTGTATGTTGATGACTTTCAGATGTGTTATGGCTCTACAAACATGCAGACGATTGAGCGTCAGTTGCTGCTTTGCTTAAACAACTTACAGCAATGGGCAACTGACAATGGATTTAGGTTTTCGAAATCCAAGACCGTCTGCATGCATTTCTGTAAACGAAGAGGATTGCACCTAGATCCAGAACTAAAGCTGGATGGTGCTGTCATTTAATTTAAATTTTTGGGACTTACTTTTGATAGCAAGCTTTTTTTTCATCCCCATATTAAAATCCTCAAGAACAAATGTCTGAAAGCTCTCAACATACTGAGAGTCTTATCCAATACTGACTGGGGAGCCGACCGAAAGGTCCTCCTCCGATTATATCAAGCTTTGGTTCGTTCCAAGCTCGATTATGGGTGTCAGGTGTATGGTTCGGCTCGTCAATCCTATATCAAAGAGCTTGATACCATACACCATCAAGGACTTAGAATCAGTTTAGGTGCGTTTCGCACTACTCCAGTTGAAAGTCTGTACGTCGAGGCTAATGAGCCCTCATTGTACGACAGACGTGACAGGCTTTCATTGCAGTACGCTATCAAGATAGCATCATTGCCACAACATCCTGCTTACTGCCCCGTATATAGACCTTACTTTGAACACCTGTACGTGCTGTTTCTTCTTTTGGAGTCCGCATTCAACCCCTTATGTCAGCGGCTGGTATAAGCCACGACTGTATTGCGGACTTTGCCATGACCACTATTCCACCTTGGTCAATTGCTCCACTCCAAATAGACTTTAGTCTATCGAGCAACAAGAAGTCACAGACAAGCTCTGTTGTCTTCAAGTCTAAATTTCTTGAACTAAGATCTAAATATGGGGATTTTGCTCCTTTCTATACAGATGGGTCTAAGGATGGTGATAAGGTAGCAGCCGCTACAGTTACACCATCCGAAGTTCTATCTGTAGCTCTTCCACCAGCAGCCTCAATATTTACTGCAGAACTCATTGCCATTTTACAGGCACTTGAGTTTTTTCAGTCCTCTACATCATTAAAAAAATGTATTATATTTTCTGATTCTTTGTCCTCATTAAAAGCTATTAATAACATCCAGCTTGTACACCCAATAATCGGGGATATATACAAGCTCTCTGGGCCAAAAAAGGACATTGTCCTTTGTTGGCTCCCCAGTCACATGGATATAGGGGGGAATGACATGGAAGATGCGGCGGCTAAGGCTGCTTTGTCACTGCCTGTTTCCCCCTTTTCTTTGCCTTTTACCGATTTTAAATCGGTGATAAGGTCTTTTATTCAACATCGATGGCAGCAAAAATGGGATGCTGCAGACACTAACAAGCTTCATGCCATTAAGCCTCTCCTATGAGACTGGCCCTCCTCCTATTGTGCCAACAGGAGAAATGAAGTTGTTTTGTGTCGCTCTCGTCTTGGACATACTCACCTCACCAACTGTTATTTGCTCAAGCGAGAGCCTCAACCAGTCTGTGAGCACTGCCAGATCTGCCTGACAGTGAAACACATTCTGATTGAGTGTAAGCATCTCAAACCTATAAGATCACAGCACTACCGTGCTGTTTCTTTATTTCAGCTTTTTGCGAAACCTTCTCTTTTGAGAAGGTTGTGGCTTTTTTTAAAACAAGCAGGTCTTTATTTTAAATTTTAAATGGATTAGTCATTGTTTGTTTTAAATGTTTTGTTTGTTTTTAATACCACCATGTGGTGTTTTACCTGTGATATTGTTTTTAGTGTTTTTTTGTATTCATTAAATGACTTTTTCTGTGATATGGTTTTTATCGTCTTTTTTGTTGTCACTATGTGACCTTTATGTGATATTGATAGGTGTTTTATTGTTTTAGTTTTTTTTATTATTTTAACGTATTCTGGAGCTATATAGCCCGTTTGGTGCTGATGCTCCTTAATACATTTCATTTCATTTCATTTAGAAGCTGAATAGCTGTACTGCTATTCATAAAAGGCCTTGCAGCAGTTATTTTCCATACGTGAAAAATGCCTGTCATATTACAAATCTATAAATAACTCGCAATTTTATTGGTTAATGAGTCTGAGGGTGTATTCTTTATGCTCACCGCGGAGAGTACTTAAATAGAATAGATTCGGAGAGATCTTCGGAAAATAAACATTGAGAGATGAACGCAACAGGATACGTTCATATGTTTCACAGTACTTCAACCATGAATTTAAGAGACTTTTCCGACTAGAACCAACTACATTTGAAAAATTACTTCAACTTATTAGAAATGTTGGAGCTAACCCAGTAACCGATGGCCATGGGAGACCCCCAATTAAAATAAAAGAACAATTGCTTATTACATTGATGTGGCTTGGTAGTCAACAAACCATACGCTGTATTGCTGACAGATTTGATAGAACCGACTCTGCTACATTTAAAACCCGAAATAATATTTGTAAGATACTAACAAATGTTATTTTACCTCGATTAATAAAATAGCCAAGATTTGATGAGTATGATGGTGTTGCCCAAGATTTTCAACCATTCCCAGGAATAATAGGATGTATAGATGGAACGCACATTCCAATTCCTGCACCATCTAAAGTTCCTGGAGCTTATTTCTATAGAAAGCATTCAATAATCCTGCAAGGTGTTTGTATCTCTAATATGCTCTTCACACATGTTATAGCTGGATGGCCAGGTAGAGTCCATGACAGCCGAGTATTAAGAAATTCTGATATATGGCAAAATATTGGTCCTTCAATACCTGAGCAATATCACATTTTGGGTGATGGAGCATATCAAATAAGAGGATGGTTATTAACTCCTTATCGTGACAATAGACATCTAAATCGTACCCAACCGTTATTTAACAGATCTTTCTCATCAAAACGACAGGCCATAGAAAGAGCCTTTGCTTTACTTAAAGGGAGATTTCCAAGACTTACGTATTGTAACACCAAGAAATTGAAATATACTATTCGTGCTATTATTTCAAGCTGTGTTCTCCACAATGTATGTATTTTACAGGATGATAATTTTGAAGATCTCGTTCAAATGCCTGATGATGAGGGTCAGGATAATGATGTCAATAATAATGAGAATGGGGCTGCAGGTCTCGCAAAAAGAGATGAGATTGCTGAAAACTTATAATAACAGTTTAATAACAATCAACAATAACATTATGTGTTAAATAAAATAATAAGTCAAAAACCACTGACTAATGTCTATAAAGTGTTTGTTGACTACAAACACACACTTAAAATTTAACGTATTCTAATGAAACTACAAAAATAAAATATTCTTTCAAGAACAAAAGTATATTAATCATTTTTCAAATTTGTTAGTTTTTTTTTTAAATCAGGATTCTTACTTTCCTGATTGCAGTCTCTTGATAACCTTTCAAGAATTGTGCCTACTGTGCAAATTGTTAATGGATGGACAGGGAAGACAACCACCTTTTTCGAATCTAATCATTTTTAGGGGTAATTGCCCTGACGAGAGATGCCATTAGTTCTATTTTTTGATCATGTTGTTCCTGTCTCTGCTTTCTGGTTTTTTCTTCTGCTTCCTTAACAGAGTCATTGAACTCTTTTAAGTAGTCAATTACCGAATCAACTGTTGATTTTCTCGCTTTGGTAGTTTTTTTTACTTTTTTTAGGAAGTGATGGTGCTTGTTCATCATCGTCACTTTTAGAATCATTTTCATTTTTTCCATCTTTACTTGACTCAAAATGTAAGCAGGTTCAACATCCGCACTTTTATCTAAAAATGACAACTCATCAGAAAATTCGTGAGTTTTTAAATTTTCTCCACTTTGTTTATTGAGTCGGATATTTTCTTATACGAGGTTATTAATGTCCTCCACTTTCCCCTGCATCTTTCACTGCTGTGAATGTGGCCATTTTGTTTTTATTTTAAGCTTATTTCCTTCCATATTCCTGACTTACAAATCAACTTTTCGCCTTCCTCAGTAATACAACTTTTGACGAACCAAGGATATTAGATAACGGGTGTTTTTAGGCGTCCAATCACTTTCTGAAATATAAATACATTTAAAAATGGTTATTTAAAAGCTTTGTATAATATGAATATATGTATATAGATGTATCACAATTTTCTTTGGCAGCTTGTTCAATTTGGCACGTTAATCGTTCATTTTTTAAATATTCACTTAAATTATATTTCTAGAATTTAAGAGAGTTTCATTGCAGTTGTGACTTGCCTCTCTGCAACTTTTAAATTTAAAAAAAAATATTAAAAAATCAAAGCATGTATGATCAAAAATTAATACCTTAAGTGGTTTCATTTGAGTGCTCAGTTTTTGATGTTGATGCAGTGTTAATCGATGTGCTACTACTACTACTGCAGGATGGTTTATCATGTACTAAAACACAAAGCAAGATTTTAAGAATTTGAATAAGCATTTAAATAGACACCAGCTTGAATGGCAGGATAATAAATATGAATAACTTGTGACTTCTAGAATGCTTGTAAGCTCAGAGAAATGAACATATTTTAAAGAACAAGGCAATAACTCGATAACAAATATTGTTTTTCTGTGTTCATTTTTTGTAAACTAAGCAGCATGCTACATACATAGGATGATGAATGTAGCTAGTGAATTCACCAATGAACTTATCATGATCATGTTTCTCAATTTCTTTTGAATTTATAACAGCTTGTAACATATCTGGATCTGAAAATACACAATAAGTCAATTAAAGTTTTGAAAAGTCAATTTATTTTTTGAAAAAATATTATCAAGATATAAATCACATTCACCATCTGTTGGACAAATCGTATGAAAGTCTCAGAAACGAAATTGTTTGTAGAAATAGAAAGAAATATTACAATATGTAAGGTATATTTTAATGGATTATGTATTGATAAACTGAATCACTATCAGATTATTATGACAGATATCATAACAAGATCAATTGTAAATGTAACTTACCCCCATTCACAATTTTTTCTCCATCTTCTTCTGTTAGGAGGACAGAGATAACCTGACCGTCATAAACAATTTGATAATTTACCAATTTATCTGATGCTTCCGAACGATTACTATAATAAAGAAAATAAGAAATTAAGATGAAGAGCTTTTGCTTACAAAGAGGACATGGCCTTTTCGGACTGTTGATGGACTTGAAAACACCTGTATTGAGCGTTGTAATCTTGAATATTGGTATTTGTAGATTTAATTGGCTTCTTGACCTCTGACCTAATTCCATACGGGTTTAGATCAGCATCAACTCTATCTCTCAGTCACAGTTGGAGGTCAATTAAAATTGGTTCACTGTGCTTCAAGATAGAGTTGGCCCTTTCATTCGACTTGGTAATTTTGTCTGATGGAAGTCTCTCGGCTGTCCTCATCAGTGCACTGGAACTTGTCGAAGAGCCGTGCTGCTGTATGGATGGACCGTTGACAATTTTGTCCCAGAAGGCTCTTGCCACCTTAAACTCTATGACCAAAAGCATTCTTTATTACTTGTAGTGGCATAGCATAATTTTTCCCAACATATACAAGGCCATGTATGCCGATATTTGCCTCACCTTTCACTTTTTACCATATTGTTTTTAGTGTTTTTTTTGTAGTCATTAAATGACTTTTTCTGTGATATGATTTTTATCGTTTTTTTTTTGTGTTTTTTGTCACTATGTGACCTTTCTGTGATATTAATAGGTGTTTTATTGTTTTAGTTTTTGTATTATTTTAACGTATTCTGGAGCTATATAGCCCGTTTGGTGCTGATGCTCCTTAATACATTTCATTTCATTTCATTTCAGCTTTCACTTTTGACTGCAACAAATCCATTCGCCTAGTGTGATTTATACCATTTCTAATGTGAACTGTCGCATAGAATTGTTCAACAAACCTCGGCCACATCAGAGGATTTCCATTGAAGATGGTCTATTTTAGGTAGGTCACGTTCGCTTTCCAGCTTGACTAGTGCTTGGGAAAGCTGTAGATGAGGATCATGCAAGTTTTCTTGAGCAACTAAAATTTCTTGACCCGGTACCAGCTTGTCAATCCAGGCACCAATAGGTTCAACTTCAGAAGAAATGTAATGGTTGTTGTTCAATTGAGGGTTAGTTTCCGATACATTGAATTTAAGATTGAGTATTTCTGGTGGAAATATTTTAGCGTTAGGGTTCAATGTAGACTCATACGTGGTAATGTCTGGCACATGAGAGGTCTGGATAGTATGAGAACAGCCCTCATTGGTTTTCGTCTTTAAAATGGAAGGTTCGAATTTTGGAATTGTGTCATGGAATCGGTTGTTGGTTTTGATTGACGATTGGCTAATTCTATCTTAAACTGTGACTTCACATGAATCGGAATCTGAATCAGTTGAGCTGGAACTGATAGGCTCATATATAGGTGTCTTATTTATAGTTGAATGGTTCCATTTCTTTGGGTTTTTCTTTAACATGAATATGCCTTTCCCATGTCCATTTATGAGCTCACTACATTTTGTCCTGTATAGATTAAGGGTGTAATACTTTGTTCCGAGGCACACTTTGATTGTTACGGAGGTTGTTCTGTCTAGAGTGTCTTTTGAATTTTCTATTTTCACATTTAAATCACTGTTGGCACTTACATTTCTGCAAAATATTTCTGAATTTTTCACAAAATAATGAAAAAATCCAGAATTGAAATGAAGAACTACCCCATACATACATTATTCCTTATAAATATTCCTAACTTTCCATAGGTATTGGTTCTTATTTATTCTTCATGTACTTGTATGTGTTCACTTGCCGCCATCTTGGAATTCTAATAACTGTGGTTTTATTCATACCAAAGATTTATTCAGAAGTAACGAAAAAACAATATTTTTTACATTTAAACAGAAAGGGTTCTGCACATCTGTCCAGACTATTCAAACCTTATGAGAAGGTTGTCACATTTTTAAAACATGTACATTTTTATTTTAAATTTTGAATGTATATTTTTTTCATGGTTTTGTTTTAGTTGTTGTTTTTGAGATGTTTTGTTGTGTTTTGAAGCCCTTTGTGGTTTATTACTGTGATATTATTTTATCCTTGTTTGTTGTCACCCTATTGTGGTGTTTTTTCTGATATTGTTTTAATTTTCTTGTACCTTTAAGCTTTCATTTAGATGCGTTAATTGTATCGTATTCAGGTGCTAAATTGTCCGTTTAGGTGCTGATGCACCTTAATACATTTCATTTAATTTTAAGGAAATTAATTTGTGATATCGAACCATAACTTAGAATCAAAATAACTATCAGTGAGCAGGTCTGAAATGTACGGCTCACAGGCACAGCATCTACCAGATTTAGCTTTTGTGGTTAGTATGATATTGTTTTTATCATTGTTGGTTGTCACACATTAGGGTGTTTTCAGTGATTTTTTTCTGTCTTCTTATATTAATCTATAAGTTCATAACTTTTTTATTTCATTTCATTTGAGCATAGTGTATAAAGGACCGGGATCGTCACTAAACTAAAATAAAAACTTCGGATGTCATTTATGACTGTTTAATTTTATCACGTGGTTTTATTTTAATTGATTTGGTCATTAATCAGGTTTCGAGTCATTATATTATGAAAAAGAATACATCCATGACAAACTCAACCATGTACCCGCATGGCAATATGTCGATTCGGAAATGTTATATTTATGTAATATTTAATCAATCCAGCTGTTTCCTTTATTACATTAAAATGCTAAATTGACGAGTTGACATGCAACTAAAATTACCAACAGTAGTATGTGTACATTACCTTATGCCATTTTACCATTTACCGGTTTACCAAAAAATTTTTTTAACCAAATTGACCATCCAGTGTATGTACACTACACCCCCTTTACCATATGCCGACTTACCATTTTATATACTAATAACCTAAACACCCTTCATTTCATAAATTCTTACACTTAAAAAGACCTAAACTCCCTATAAATTATTTAAACTCCCTACATTTCTTACACCAAAAACACCTTCAATCAATTTCCTACATTCCATCAAAAAAAAAAGCATATTAAAAATACCCTTATATAAAAATAACATAACATTTTTTAATAGCCTCGTTTTGGAAAACACAATTTTCTACTCAATTTTTAAACCTTAAAAATGGCAAATAAAATACTAGATCCAATCTTTAGATTATACGATCCGTTTCTTTATTCGTTTAACAAGAAAAAAGAGGATTATATTATAATCTCACCCACTGTTGGTTCTAAATCCCAACTGAATGATGGTGGTAGAATTACCTTTGAAATAAATTCATTATCGAATTGGTTGCTTCTTTCCGATGCTTATTTCAGATGTGATTTCAAAATTAAAGATGGAACTCAGAAATTAGAAATAACGAATCTCCAACTTTTCATACCCGTAATAACACCATCAATTGAAGTAGAAACGAGAATATTCAACTCATTAACTAAAGATATTGAAATAGCTTTTCTTCATCGTAATACAGTAGGTAGCATGACTTTAACTGGAGAATCCACTACATGGCCAATCACTAACACTATTAAACCAGCAAGATATTTAATGGTTGGTTTCAAGAACTTAGCAGATTCTCAAACGAATAACAATAATGTCTTCAGAGTGGCAATGAACCAAACTCAAGATCCTTTAATCCATAAAGTTCAAGTAAGATTAAACAACAATAATTATCCTAACCAACCTTTAACAATTAATCCAACCACAAAGGATTATAATGAATTGTATAGAAACTATAAAAACATGTGTGAATTATTTAGAAATCCACCTCAGTTTTAATATGTAGATTTTGCACTTAATCATCCAATCTTCTGTTTTGATCTATCAGCTCACCAAGAAGATCTTTTCAAAACAGGAGTCAACATAAATATTCATATTGAAAAAACACAAGGAGGTGTAACAGGTTATTGTTTACTACTCGAAGAAGCAAAACATTCAATTAAAATAGCAGATAGAAGAATGATAAGAATTGAGTAAAAAATACACCCTTAAAAATGAAACCAGAAACTTTAGTTCTGAAAATAATAGACGCTGTTGAAACAGATTCCCCAACTGTAATAACTTTTCACGGTAAAAAAATCAGTATAACTAAAAAACTTATTGATAAATACAAATATTGTAAAGTCAGAGACGATATAGACTTAGAAAGAATTGATACAAATGTAAAAAAAAGGTGGATTTATATTTTCCCTACCTTAAATATATTTGCTGGTATTACCGCGGCGGCTACAGTGGCTGGTGCTACAGCTGGTGGAGTAAGCGTTGCCAACGATAAGAAAGCAGCTGCACTAACAGCAGCCGAAGAACATAGACAGAATTTAGCATTGGAAAAGTTGGCAGAGGGTAAAAATCCTATAACGGAAAAGAAATGTTCAGGAGTGGGAGATATGATAGGCACAATGAAAGAATTTGGAAAAAGATTTAGTGAAGAAACCAAGAAAACTGTTAAAAAAGGATTAAATAAATTAGTAGATAGTATTGACACGGGAGAAATCGAAGTCAAACATAAGGGTAATGGAATATTTTTAAAAATATATACACACTGGAGAAGGAATATATCTTTCAAAGTATAAAGGAGAAGGAGTGATTTTTGGAACAAATCAAAATAATAATAAATGGGCAAAAAATTTAATCATTCAGAAATACTTCCTAATACCCAATGTCATGTGTATATGCGGTAGTTTCGGTTCTGGGAAACTCATCTCACTTTTAACATGTTGACAACACCAAACCTTTTAGATTTCGATTCTTTGTATATCTACACAACAACACCAGAGCAATCGTATTATCAATTCCTCAAAGCTTTAGAATATCTACCAAAGAAAGATGTTCAAGACCTATTTCAATATTACGAAGAAAACGAAGAAGAAGTGGAAATAAAAGATATCATAGATAACTACATCGAAGGAAAGAATCCAACGGATATAAAAGTTTTACTTACGAAAAATGTTAATGATCTAGTCTTGTCTAATATTGATAGCAAACGAAAGAACTTAATATTGTTTGACGACTGCGAAATCAAATGAGAAGAAAGAAAGAAATCAAGCTGTTCAACAAGAATTCATCACGAAGGGAAGACATCACAACTGTCACTGCATATACCAATCCCAAACTTTTTACGGGATGGATTCTATGTTTATTAGAAAAAATGCAAATTGTTTTTTATTATTTGAATTAAACGATAAAGATTTATCTCAAATCATTCAGTCGATAAATCACGGAATGGACAGAGATACATTCAAAAAGTTTGTAAAGCTCAATGGAGAAACCCAGATGAACATGGATATGTATTCGTAAATACTAGAAAACCCGCGGGTGAAAGAGTTATGCTCGACATATGTTAATTTTATTTTTTTAAAAATGAGTAGCGATTGGTATAATATTTTAAAAAGAAATAAAGAATATATCAAAGCTAAGAATAAAATAAAGACCCAAGTTGAAAATAACAGATTACAACTACTCGGATTAACGAAAAATCTACAAACTCTATTTCAACCCATATTAAAATCTCAAGAGGATATTAAAAAGAGACTCATCCTTCCTATAGAACCTACATCTCCTATAGAACCTCATCAAATAGAATATCCCATCACCCAGAACCGAATCCATATGGTGGTATTATAATTAGGACATTAGATGATATTAACAGCCTTTTTTCAAACCCTAAAGCAGATTTACCAAAGAGTATTAAACCAATCATTGATGATGAGGGGTTATTGTTTAATGGATTTAGAATTAAATTTAAGTCAAATTCCCCTATATTCAAAACGATACAAAAAACTTAATATTTACATTAACGAAAGGATTAATAGATTTAATGAATGGCGGGTATATTGGCATTGCCGATTACAAGGATTTACTAGCATACTCAAAATTTCTACATGCAATAAGAAAGTCGGGACCCGAAACAAGAAGATCGAAAGCAGTTGAAACATATTTAAATAAAGTTATTCCTGATGAATATGAAGATGATGAATCAGATGAGGTATCACATGATTATGCAGAAGATTATACACCAATCATACAAGAAATAGACGATTTCGATGATATGGTGGCATCTGAGTAATATTAGCGGCAATGAAGGAAGGACATCGATCGCACAAACAATATAATGAAGTAAATTGTATATTAAAAAGACTCCTTGAAAAAGGTATCATAGATAAAAGTGATTATAAAAGCGTGATTAAAAATGTCAAATAAAGAACAACTATTCGTTATCACCTCAAATAAATCAGACATTAAATTATCTCTAGATTATGAGTACCAACTCGATCGCAATCAAGAATATGAATTGGGATTAAAGTATTTCTCTGTTTACAATTCCATTAGAAATATCAACGAAAAAAAATAACCAAATGAAAATATCAACAGATAATGGAGTTACGTTCAAAACCATACGTTTACTACCAGGAAGCTACGAATACATAGCCATTAACGAATACCTATCTGAATATGGAGGAAGTGTCAATGGTAAAAACAATATTGAATTCGAAGGTAATTTGAATCTGAACAAAATAAAATTGACATTAAGAAATAATAGTCACGTTGATTTCAACGTAGAAATTTCATTGAATGCGTTACTAGGATTTGATAAACGAGTATACACCCAATCCACTTTAGCACCACACAAAGCTAATATCGAGAATGATATCGATGTGATAAATATACATTGCAATTTGATAAACGGTGGATTTTTCAATAAATACAAACGTCAGATTATTTACAGTCTTCCAACATTCACTGTACCGATAGGATATAGAATTATATAGAAACCATTTCAAACGACGTATTTACCACTTAATTCCTTTATGATTAAAGATATAAATCTGGAAATCAAAGATGGTAAAAATAGGTTTATAGATTTTGGTAACGAAGAAATTGTTATTCAACTTCATTTAAAACAAAAGAACTAAATTTATTCTGATTGATCATCATTAGATACATTTGTAAAATAATCAAAATCATCAAATTCGTAGTTTTTATCCAAGCACATCTCCTCCCCAGAGTTGTAAGGATACTTTTTTCTTTCATCGTCTGGTGCTTTTCTCTTTATGAGATTCAGATAACTAAATTTTTTAGTTTGTTTTTCATTAGGAATAACTATTCCATCAGTAAAACTCTTCTCCCATGGTTTATCAAATTCATTCGTTACGTCATGTCCACTAGCTAATTGAATGTAGTCTTCTACCTTAATCTTATAGTTAGAGTAACCCTTAGACGTTTTCTTTTCTTTTAGAATACCGTCGGAAGTTTGAAAGATATTGTATTTGACTTTTGGCACTAAATATAAACCATATATAATTCCACCATCACCGTAATCATTCTTTCCTTTACAATAATCGTTTTCGGACACCAACCCACCTTCATTTAATTTATCCCAATTGCTAGACGAAATGTATAAACTATCGGTATCCGTATAGTATATTTCAGGCTTATAAAATCCATCTATGACTTGAATAAAATTATTCATTATTCTTTTACTGTGAGATAATATAAATGTACCTAAATGAGTGGGTGTTAATCTCGTAAAATCCTTTGGAGCAACAAATTCTTTTTCTTCTTCATTTATCTCAACGATATACTGACTATCATTTAGTTTGTCATACTTATTGACGTGTTTGTCGTAATTAAGGCGGAAGGTTTCTTCATTCCATAAATGCAATGAGGTATTTCTATCCCTCTGAATAGATTTACCATATAAGGAATTACTTAACTTCATGCAGTTACTAGCAACCACCTCTCCTTCTTTTTTGTATTTATTCCTTAATTCCTTCAAAATTAAAATATAATCTCTGTAGGGTGGAGTTTTAAAATTTTCTTCGTAAACTATACCATCTAATATTCTAATAATTTTACCACCGGATTTCACTATTTCTTGAATATCGACCGATGTTAAAACGTCGTGACAGAAACCATTTCTGAACCTGATTTTAGTGCCAGTTTCCTTTTTACCTATTCTATTCGTGAAAGTAATTTTATCTTTAGCTGGTATCGGTCGGAAGAACATGTTTTTGGGATATTCAATCCAGACTTTTAAAATAGCAGTTCAAGGTCTGAATTTCTCTTCATTAAAGAGCTTGAGAAATTCTTTATTTTCTTCTGGTAGAAACGGTCTTGCACTTTCAGTTTTGGATATTCACCTTCTGTCATAGCAGAGGCGTACAACCCATTAGCGTCAAATGCCATCAGTTTAGAATAGTTCAGTTCTTTGAGTTTAGCGTGAACTTCCGTTTTATCTTTCGTGCTAGCACTGTATTCTTTGAATAAATCTATTATTCCTTCAGTGCCACTTTCTAAATACTCCTTTGAAATGGCGTAAAATCTCATTCATTTTATTCGTTTCAAATGATTTTCTGTTAGCAGAAACTCTTCCTCCTTTAATGGATTGTCTGATAAAATATCTTATAAAAGGATGGGTATGTGAATAAACTTTTTCTATTTTTTCTTTTTCAATGTGTTTCGGAACCATTCTAGTAGTTTCATACCATTCTTCTTCTACCATTTCTTTATCGTAATGATATAAATAATACCAACCCTTTAAAGATAAAGAAGGAGCCGTTAGATTATTTGAAACGTTTTGGAAGACAGTTTCTTACATTGCTTGATTGTATTTTATCAAACAAGCTCCGAGACATAACGTGTCTCTTTTAGCATAAGGTTCCCATTCGTGTCTTAAAGATTCCCAATTATCTTTGGTGTATTTAACAATGTCTACATTCATTATTTTCTTAAATTCATTGGTAGATTGGATGAATTACCCCATGCCGCCAAAGTAGATTTTTCATGTTGATAGGAAGAAGTGAGACATATGTTTTGTAAATAGTTATTTTTATCAGATATTTTTTTCTCTCTTTTCCACTTTTTCAGCAATCTTTCTTCTGTATATGGATTAGATAAAGGAAGAGATAGAATTTTTTTATCTGTTACTAGTGGACATTGTGTTAGTTTATTAAGGCTTTGAAGTGCAATCCAGTTGTCAAAACCACTGGCGTTATGAGCAATTAAGGTTAGTCTTTTTTGATCTACTGTACCTAAACGATGCAACATCTGATCGAAACAATCTGTTCCTACAAATATTTCTACTATATTAGTCATGAGTTTGTTGTAATATTCTTCTGGAATGGGATCAGTTGGCTTTAAATCTGGGAATACTCTTTTAATTAGTTCTAGGTTTTTCCTTAGTTTTTCCAAATTGACTAAAGTACAACAAAAAGGAATAGCTTTATTTTCGCTATAGGTTTCGCAATCCCAAGCGAATAAAGTATTATCATGAGGTTGTGAAATCACGTTTAGTTTTAACTGAGCAAAACATGTTACTGCATCATCATCCCCGCAGGTTCTCCATACATTTTCATCGTAATTATCTTCTATTTCTTTAATACCTAAAGCTTTATTATTTCTTATCAAACAGAAATGTTCTTTGTGTAAATAAAAAACCAAATCTAAGTCTATGTTTACATATCTTGGTTGAAAATGACTGTCTTTAGGGTTATAGATTTGAAAATTTGTATTAAATCGATCGTTGAATATCTTAATTCTTCCAACTGTCATCACTCCTTTTCTTTTTGCTTTTTGAAAACTGTTGACGAAATCTTGAAATTCCTTTGTTAAGTCTTTATTCATGAAGTGATTTACACAC